CCAGACCCACCAGGACTCGAACCTGGGACCCTGCTTGTCATGAGCAATGCTCTAACCACTGAGCTATGGGACCAGGCTGAACCTAGAAGGCGCTGACAAGTTTTTCACTCCAAAGGCAGCTCACAACACGTGCCACACATACTGATGGCACTTGGGTCTTTTTCCCTCCCCCAGGGGACCAACCACGGTCAGTTTCTGGAAACTACCAGAGGTGAAAGAAAGTGATTAAATTTGGAAAGGATGGGAGAACTTCAAATTCAAAGGATCAGTCGGGGAAGTGAACTGCCTGAAAAGAGAAAAAAACGCCAGACCCACCAGGACTCGAACCTGGGACCCTGCTTGTCATGAGCAATGCTCTAACCACTGAGCTATGGGACCAGGCTGAACCTAGAAGGCGCTGACAAGTTTTCTACTTGTCAGCGCCTTCTAGGTTCAGCCTGGTCCCATAGCTCAGTGGTTAGAGCATTGCTCATGACAAGCAGGGTCCCAGGTTCGAGTCTTGGTGGGTCTGGCGTTTTTTTCTCTTTTCAGGCAGTTCACTTCCCCGAATGATCCTTTGAATTTGAAGTTCTCCCATCCTTTCCAAATTATTATTATTATTATTATTATTATTTGAAACTTTGACAAGTGCCTTATTTTGACTGGATGTGTGTTTGCGTGGATACTTACGACCCAACACGTACCTTCGTTATTAAATTATTATTATTATTATTATTAGCATCGCTGGCTTCAAGCGAAGGTCCCTGGTTCGAGTCCTGGTGGTGACAGTCAATTTTTTCTTCAGACTTTTCCCGTTTGTCTCTTCCCCTCAAACCAGTTAATATTTTTTGACTTGGGGCTCCCCGCGTGCTAGTTTGTACGTGAAGTGTGGGGGGTTACAGTGAGGGCTGCGTCCCATCCGCCTGTGTGGATTCACAGGAAGTGTGAGTTACAAAGTCTGAAGAAAATGTTGAACGGCACGAAGGTTCTCACATCGTACAAACTTAGTAGCATTCTGCCATACGATTTTCTTTCCTTGGCTGTAAATCAAGGTGGGGCGCTCTCGCGAGACGGGGCGCTCTGGCGGTACTTTACGGTAGTTCCAACAAATCTACGAAGCATTAACCTACACCCCTCCAACTTGAAAGACTCAGGTGCGGAAAGTTCCAATGAGGGGAATGGATGTGCCACGAAAATGTGCACGGGCTACGTGCCTTGGCGACAAAGAATTTCGAACGTTACGGGATGATGATGGCGAGACTAGTAACACCATTGGACAAACTGATCTAACGAGAACTCGAAAACGCAAGGCAACTTGGGAGGCACAAAGGTATGTACAAATACGTCAACAGGGGAAGGTAAGCGAAGACAAACTGTCACAAACCGAAAGTACGTCGTGCGAAACCACTTGCTCATGTACAAAACTTGTCCATCATCGTTACATCAACATGGAGTTTAGTGATTAATTCGGGGTGTCCATACCAACTTTAGCATTACTGCACTGTGTAGGATAAAGTCATCCAAAATCACCAAAAAATGGGAGCTAACCAGAGCCATACATGATCGTTTTTGTATGAATGGAATGCTGTACTCGATCTGATGTGCTGTCATTGTGCAGAACACCCTTGTCAGGGAGACGTGAAACTCTATTACCTGGCTAATTCTCCCTCGTCAGAAGGTCGCACTATGAAGGAGGCTCAGGATGCATGTCAGGAGAGGGCAACTGACGTGCCAGGACCGCTACTTAAGCCCTGCATGCAAGAGTTCCTCCAACTCATCGTTGTTGATAAAGCTCAGTGCGAACAGCCCGATTCTTCCCCTTACGAATACGCCACGTGCGTGATCAAGGCGTTCAGAAGTGGAATTGCCTGGTTTGGATTCACCCGTTCCGGATACGACCAGACGGCCCTTGCCACAGATGGGGTATCATACCCTACTGACACGCTGCTTCCAAAAACCATCTGTACATCGGGCTGAGTGGAAACCGCGATTGTTTGCATGGAGTTCCGCATGTAGTTCACGGAACTCAGTCCACCACATCCGCATGTTTTCCTTTGTGCACTAATGTTAAGTCAATATGCTGCTTACTAGTACATAAATTCTCTTTGCTAATTATACGTACAGCTGTTGTCGGTTGCTAATGAAGCTGATGTTGTATTGCAATCTTACCTGATCATACCTGATCAACTCACATTGAACAGGCGATGAGATCGCTCACTGACCTACATTGTATGTATCTATTATTGTAATAATAATGAACGAATAAAAGACCTCGGCGAAGCCGAGGTCTTTTATGAGGTCTGGTACTCCGCTTAGTTGATTATTGTTATTGCCGCTCCGGTGTCTATCTCAAACACAACAGGATTGCCAGCAAGACTCACACTCCACCTATAAGGATCCACGTTGGAACGCACATGACCCGAGCAACTGGTGTGATGCAGCTCAACGCTGTATTCCGCCGTCTGGTCAGGTGATGCGAACTCAGAGGCTCTCTGCTCAGAAAACTGACGCACAGCCTTCGTCCGGCATACCTTTGCGAAATGATTCGACCTGCTGCAGGACTTGCACGTCTTGCCCCATGCTGGGCAATCCGAGCGGTTGTCGTGCCATTTCCCCCCGCATCCGCTACATTTGCGAACGGTCTTACTGGAAGGACTGGGCTGGTCACGACTTGATGGGTGTCGCCTCTCCACCTTATTGACTTGGGGATGTTCAGGCTTGCTGAAGCTGCTGGCCCCGGCCATGGCTGCCACAGACGACATTGTGACTTCCACTGACTGCGCATAAGTAAGGAGGTCTGCCAATGACATGCTGCTCTCCCTGAAAGCCTTTTCACGTACCTTCGACGACACACAGTGCTGTACGACCTGAGACTTTAGCTCTGTGTCCATATCTGCAAACTGACAGTGCTTGCCCAAACGCCTAAGACGAGTTACGTAGCTATCAAGGGTCTCCGACTGAGATTGTTTCTCACGGCGGAACAAGGAGATCTCGTATTCCCTATTGCGCTTCGGACTGAAGTGAGCCGTCAGAGCATCCTTCAAGTCGTCGTAACTTGTAATACTACTGCTGTCAAAGGTGAGGTAGACATCAAACACCTCCTCACCGCCACCGTGCAAGAGCTGGGCTCTCTGCCGCTGGTCTTCCGTGATGTTTGCAGCAATCAAATAATTATCGAAACGAGCCAGCCATTTCTCCCAACGAGGGCCAACTGACTCAGGCGGTTCCAGATCAAACGGGTTCAATGATTTTACTGTGCTCATCATGGCAGCTGAATCAAGAACTTCGTCGCCAAATATTATGATCACACCAGAGCAGTTCAGGACAAGACAAAAGGGAACTGTTGACTTTAACATCAAAGCTAGAACGCCGAACTAGAACGACAGGGAAGCTCAGCAGCACAACGGAAATGCATGCGCGGCTGATACAAACTTAGAGTAGAGGAGTAGAAAGATAATGATCTATCACTTGAGGTAGCTCACTAGTAAGGATATCACACAATGTATGTGATGACATGCGCTAGCCAAACGTGCCTGCCGGTGAGCTGTGTACCTTGTAAAAATACCCCAAAAAACAGCTTTGTGAAGAAGCATTGAACAGAATGCTTTTGAAAAAGGCGCAACTTTCCTCAAGAGCCCTATACTTGCTCAAGTGGAGTCGGTTAACGTATGCACACAAATGGTGTTGCTATATATGGCCTCAGTGTAGCGACTTGTCTTTACGATCTTCCTATAACCTACGTTTTAAAAGTCGATATCCAGGAGGACTGAGGAGCTGGGGAGCTCAAAATCCCATTTTAGAGTAAAATTCTGAGATGGTTTCCCTTCATAGGGGCACTAAAACAAGAAATTGTTCTTTGCTGCCATACTGTACAAGTACAAATTTGCGTTCACGAAATCGTTCGTTATATCACTCCACCAGGAGATTTATTACGTACTAAATTCCGTTTTTGGTCGAGGTCTGTCACCCCGAACGTTCAGAAAAAAACTTCAGTTTGGCACAAACTTTAGTGACTTCATGCCTCCTAATGAATATAGCGAAAGATAATTCCAAACGAAATTTTGTACTTATCCAGTAGTCAATAGGTCAGTTAAATCATGGTAGTACACTCAGATGTCTCTTATCCGGGCACCTTGGGACCGGGCACTGCCCGTATCTCAGATTTGCCCGTATCTCAGATTTGCCCGTATCTCAGATTTGCCCGTATCTCAGATTTGCCCGTATCTCAGATTTGCCCGTATCTCAGATTTGCCCGTATCTCAGATTTGCCCGTATCTCAGATTTGCCCGTATCTCAGATTTGCCTGTATCTCAGATTTGCCCGTATCTCAGGATAACTCATCTACCATGTACTTTATCATAATAATAATTATTATTATTATCATTTTTTAAAGAAATTTATTTGGCAGGCATTGCACATGTTCAGGTTACAGGAAGAATCCATTGATAAAAATGGGTGGATTTCACAGGTTGGTAGTGACAAAAAAAGCACTTGCGCATACGAAAAAAGTTCAAATCCCCCAAATTCCAAGCTTTTTTGCCATAGGAACTCGAGCTGAAGGTGCCCGGTAGAGAGACGTGCCCGTATCTGAGGCGTCCGGATAAGAGACATTCGGGTGTACTAGGTTCTTCATTTGACCAGGCGAGAGTCTTTTCAGGAGTACTGTGAAAGCCATTATTCTAACCAGGCGCATATATAACGATTTCCCAAAATCGACTAGTTCACGTGTACCAAAGGTAACGATTTTCACTCATTCTCAACGCTCAATAGGACAGTATATGTATCGATTTCTGTATAACGATGTCTATTTACACGACAGATTTCTCCTCGTTAACTCGTTAGAGTTAGCACTTCGTCATATATATGGCTTTTACAGTAACATTTCCTGCTATCGTGGAGTGTGGCAGGTGAACTGTTCATGCAGTCGTCGGCAAGCGTCATGTGGTCCCGTCTCGTCAAATACAAACAAATCTACAACTGCTAAAACGAGAAATTCTGATGAACACATATGGTTGACTTACTCAGATTGAAAGCACATGCCACAGTGTGCATTTGTCGTGCGACATGCCACTTCGCTCTCTCCTTGCTGTCATGCAAAGTGTAGCTGGGTGATGCCACATTGAGTGGTTGTTCATCATATTTCTCTACCCATGGCTTGTTTCCCTTGGCTGGAGAACCTCCCCTCATTGTAGTCAAAGCGTGATTTAGGCAGTCGACCTCATCACCTCCAGCGGGTAACCGTCCGCCTAGGCGCCTGCACTGCTCCTTCGCCTGTGACAAAGTTGCCGTATTGGCATACACAGCAATGTGAGCTCTGCTTTTCTCACACATGTAGCTACTCTCTATGCACAGAAAACAGCCCGTACACATATACACATTCAGACACATTTGAGCGAGAAGGAGGGAGATATGTACTTCCTCCAGAAACAAAAACTTTGTTACTTTCTTGCACTAAATTCCCATGCACAGAAAAGAGCAAGTGCACATAAACACGTACAGACAGATTTGAGCGAGAAGGAGACAGATATGTGGATAAAGCATTGGGTGTGTAGGCACGCATATGTATAACAATTACATTATCCTAGTTCCGTTGTGCGAGCGTGGATTTATTTAAAAAAAACAGTGAAGAGAACCGCTCAGGCCCACACGTGCACGCAAACACATACACGCACATGCCTATGCACACATACGCGCGCATGCATGCATGCTCGCGCGCGCACACACACACACACACACACACACACACACGCACACAGACATCAGAATAAACAATAACAAAACAGCAAGGAGAGTAGGGGGTGCAAAGCAAGCCTGTGCTGGTGAGGCAAGCGAACAACACTGACCTATGGTTAAAGTAGCTTACCCGATTCAAGTTCACACACAACCTTGTGCTTGGGTGCTGGGTCAGATGTTAGATCATAAAGTTTTTCGTCACTCGCATACTGTAAATGGCCGTGTTGGGTGGCCAACCAGGCAAAGCTGCCCCTGGGACGCAGGAAGTCCTGCACGCACGAGGTCTTAGATGCGATCTTTGCATTGAACGTCTTGCAATGTAAGGTTGCTTTGGCAAATGTCATATCCACGGGGAAGTACTTGATGATAGTCGATGGGTGGTAGGGACATCTGATTCCGGCTGTCCAGTTTGAAAAAGAGCACGCACACGCACACGCACGCACGCACGCACGCACGCACGCACACCTGCCCTGTCCTGTCCTCTAGAGCCACTGCCACAGGGGTCACGTGGGCCCCGGAGGGGCATCAGAGAGGAAGATGGAGCACGCAGCCTGATGACGCCGTAGATGGTGGGGCAAACGGAACCGGCGAGAACACACGCATACATGGCTGAACGAATTACGCTGCTGGGCAGTCGGGCGCGGGCCAGTCCTCGAGCACCGGTGACGACCGCGGCCTTGCACAGACCGAAAGCAGCGGGCACACACGCACACACACACACACACACACACACACACACACACACACACACACACACACACACAAGCATGCCTCAGACCTTAGCCATGCCCATCGCGGAAGCAATGATAGCGAACAGCTATGACACACACACAAGCACACACACACACATACACACACACACGCACATCCATGTTGAATACCTACGGTAGAATATTTGTCGGAAATCAGCTTTATTGTTTTACCAACAAACAAGTCGAGGTCAATATCCTATTTATCACGATTCGGTCCTTCGGCCCTTTCTATTTTCTATAAATTTTCATGATTGCCATATCCCCTAAATTTGATTCTTGGGAGCTATTATAGCCATTTTAGTATAGCTTTGTACCATAGTGTACACAGGATGTTGCATAATTTAGGTTCAAGACTGTAAGAACAACATAGTTCAGCATCTGCGGCACAGTGGCTGGGTGGTATATGCGGTTGCTTAAGATAGATACTTTTGTGGGTTCGAATTCTGCTTGTTCTCTTCCTTTGTCTTCTTTCTTTCAAATTTTCTTGCTGAAGTGGAGAGAAAATTTTTAAGTCCCTACAAAGTCGAAGGATTTCAATGCCTGAGTGGTCGATATAAACAGTCGATACAAGCGGTCGATATTACGGCAATATGGGTAATATAGGACCAGCCAAGGATCACACGAATTAAGGTCGATTCATACGTCATTTCGAGTACCGGAAAAGCGTTGCAAATAAAGTTGATCTGAGCTCAACTATTTCCTGTACGCGAAATGAAGTATGAATCGGCCTTAAAGGGGAAGTTAAGGCAAAAATTAAAATTTCACCAGTTGTAGTCTTCGGGGTGCTGAGTCGAATGGTCTTGGTCCGAGAAAGCTGAGACCTTCCGTTCCTACTTGAATCCCAATCGAACTCGCGCACTTCCACCGAAACTGGGTGACTGCGCCCTACTAGATGGGGATTTGTATGCAAAATGTCACTAAAAGCGCCATTTCGTTCTTATAAAAGCACGGATGACCACGATTGGCCCATATGTTGTAGTCTTTTGGACGCTGAGTCGACTGGTTTTGGTCCGAAAAGGCTGCGATGCAGCGTTCCTCCTTTATTCCCAATTGAACATGGTTGAACAAGCGGTCACGTGCTCCTGGGTGCCCAAATCACCTGGTCACCACGCTAGCGGGCGACAACTTTCACACCAAGATTCAACTCGAGTTCAACTCGAGTGACAGGACTGCACCCAAAAAAGGTCAAACAGGCTAGTAAGTTGTACCCTGCAGGCACGGTGACCAGGTGACTGGTGTACGCAGGAGCACGTGACCACTTGTTCGACCATGTTCGATTGGGAATAAAGGAGGAACGCTGCATCGCAGCCTTTTCGGACCAAAACCAGTCGACTCAGCATCCAAAAGACTACAACATATGGGCCAATCGCGGTCATCCGTGCTTTTATAAGAACGAAAGGGCGCTTTTAGTGACATTTTGCATACAAATCCCCATCTAGCAGGGCGCAGTCACCCAGTTTCGGTGGAAGTGCGCGAGTTCGATTGGGATTCAAGTAGGAAGGGAGCGTCTCAGCTTCCTCGGACCAAGACCATTCGACTCAGCACCCCGAAGACTACAACTGGTGAAATTTTAATTTTTGCCTTAACTTCCCCTTTAAGGCTTTGTTTACATAAGGCGTTTCAATCAGGGTTGAGTTCGGGCCAAGTTTCAACCCGGGTTGAGTCGGGCCAAGTTACAACCTGCCATGAACACCGATTGACTGCCATGTTTACATGACGCCCTGCGCTTGACCCGAGTTGAATATTTGCCCCGGGCTGATTCCAACCCTCCCCCAAGGAGAGGACTGAAATCAACCCGGGCAAGAAATCGTACTAAGGGGAGGGTTGAAATCAACCCCGAGTCAGAAATCGCACTAACGTACTTCTTTGTGTGTCTCGTGCCAGGTTTGAATCACTGCACATGCAAATTTCGCGCGAAAGGATTCAAGTGACCATACAGGACTCTAGAAGTGGACTTTTGGCAGCAAATCAGTAATTTACATGGGTCAACTGTCTTCATGCAAACACACACCTATTTTTCCATCATAAAGACTTTCAACCTGGGCTGAACTCGACCCGGGTTCAAAATTCTCATGTAAATGCAGCCTTAGTGGATGGCAATATAGAAGAGTGATGAACCCGATGCGCTAAGGTTTATATTTCACGTAAAAGCGTACTAGTGGAATGTATTCTACTTATGCTGACCGTCTTACAAACTGACAGTCAACTCCTCTTAGGCCAGCTTTAACCCCGGGGCAACGGTATATATGGGGTTTATACGAGGTTTATATTGAGCTGGGGTTTATATGCCCAATATAAATCAGGAGCATGATGGAGAAGTTGCCTGGACGTTTGTATGAAAGGTCAATAAAACGACTCCCACAAGCAGCATACCGTCTAACACATCTAGAGAAGAATACAATCTACAGCTCTGGGTGGAATGAATAGAACGTATCAACCAAAAGAGGAAGTTTCTACCAAGATCTGATAGGTCAAAAGCAGACGTCACCCTGCTTTTCCCTGTGAAACAACTGGCCAAAACTCGGCACCGGGAAAAAAACAATACCAAACCCAAAGCCCACGTAAAAGTGGAAAAAAACTGTGGCAATAGGGGTGGGGTGGAATTCTATCGTTGTCATACTATTGTCATACTTACGTATAGTTGGCGAGGCATCAAAGAACGAGGCTGTACATACAGGAGAGCAGAAAATGAGCTTTACTATTATTATTGTAGAAAGGAAAAGGACATATGGATACGAGTTAAGAGTAACTCTCCATCACTGTATCTCTCCATCACTGTGCCTAGTTATTGTACTTTCTGACTGTATATAGTATCATGTTACAGTGATGGAGAGTTACTCTTAACTCGTATCCATAATGTCCTTTTCCTTTCCACATTTATTTATGGCTCAACATCCGAGTTGCAAATTGCACACTATTATTATTATTATTATTATTATTATTATTATATCTCCACCAAGCTCTCCCAGCCTTATCCCCTCGTGATGGGAAAGCTGCGGACGGACCTGGCTTTCAGCCTTGTCCGTGACTCCGTCCTGATGGTTCGTGGGAGTCGCCGTGCATTCCGTGCACCTGGTCTGGCGGCGGATGTGGATGCTGTTTCTGTGGAGGCCCGCATTCCCGCCACTACGTGACGCTAAGTCCTCCTGGGGTTTGCCGCTCTCCGGTCCTCTTTCATCCCGTTCTCCCCTCTTTTTTGGGGATTCTTTGTACTTCGTCTTTCTTGTTTTCCTTGTTCCTTTGTTTTTTTGTAGGACAGATTTTTAGTGTACTGATTTCGGTCGTTGTTGTGTCTGACTCTATTCCCAATATCTAATTCTGTGGTTGGTTTTCCAACTCATTGGGTTGTAGTTTCCATCATGAGTTTGATTCCATCGTGAGTTTGATTCCATCCTGAGTTTTGATTTTATTTGCTATTTTTCGTTCCATTTTTGAGCTCATATTTTATTTTCCTGATTTCTTCTCCAGTGCATGTTGTATTGCATTTTAATACATTGTGTTAATTTTTGCCCGTAAAAGAGGCTTGCACCATTATTATTATTATTATTATTATTATTTTACAAGAAGTCGGAGGCGGATAATACTTTAGTAACGAAGGTACGTGTTGGGTCGTAAGTATCCACGCAAACACACATCCAGTCAAAATAAGGCACTTGTCAAAGTATCCGAACGTTTTCGGTCCCTTCTCATCAAGGATTATACAGGGAATGGCTCAAGTTGGAAAGACTAAAACTTATATAGCGTAAAGATATGAGATAACAACACTCGTGACAAGGTGGAAAAAGTATCAAGTTCAGTACGACACAAAAACTCGAAGGAAATAATAATAGCGACAAGAACATAGTGAGCAAATTAAGTTACATTGTTAACACCTCGACGAGGAGTAACACCAAACAATTGTAGCGACAACACATTTTCTTTCTGTACGCAAAGTTCAGGATCTAACTTACGGATATACAAAGCTTCTAACACAGCCAGATGCAACGCACATCTACCACGTGACAATATTGAGAACACATTATTACTGTACAACTCACGACAATTGGTACGGGCTGACAGATGTTGCTTAATGGACGAAGTGCGATTCTTAGCTCCGTTGGGTGTAGTCTCCTCCAATGTCCCGTCATCTCGCCTCTTCGCGGCATCACCACTATCCGCCTCTTTGCTTTTCCGCGGCCTTCCACGTTTTCTGACACCAGCCGTTGTGTGCGCTATGCCCAGTGTCCTTATGGCTACGTCTCCTCCATTGCGGATTTCTATTGATCTTCTTACTCCAACTTGTCCGGTGCTCGATATTGAGGTTCGTTTTCGCGGTCTACCACGTTTTCGAATATTGACTGTTGTTGTCACTTCCGTTGTCGTTGTACGTGCGTCCTCACCAGTCCGTATTTTTACTTGGCTTCGCGTAACCCTTCCCGACGCAGACAGATCCTTTGTCAATTTCGGTGGTTTACGTGTCGGTCTTTCACCATCTTTCACGCTGTTCTCAGCTGGACCCTGCGCTATACACGCGGAGGAGGACGGGCATGCAGTGATATATTCACAGGAAGAGGAAGATCCACCGATGGACTGGACAGCACATGTTGGAGGACGACCACGGCGAGGACGACACTCACGCGCATCAAGCGGAACAAAACTTAACGGCACATGTTGACGAATGCGCGCGCCCAGGTGCTGAAGGGTTCTACCTACATACCGATCTTCACATTGTCGGCATTGAAAGAAATAGATAAGGTTACTTTTACTAAGGGTAGGTAGAACATCCTTCTTCACACTGAACGCACGCACTGTCCCAAATATGACGTACAGCTTGACGCACGGATAAGATGGACATACGATACCACGAACATCCTTCTCCACGCGCGCAGAACCGGCGCCAACCCAGGGTAAACGGAGCACCACTGGGCAAAGGTCAGGTCCAAATTGGATCGGCTTGTCTGTCGCCGGTTTTTCGTTGATAAGCTTGGCCAGAAATTCCTTTGGATAGCCGTTGTTCGTAAATATTGACGTCAGTCTGTCTAATTCGTCCTGCAATAGATGAGGGGAACATATTCTATGCGCACGATAAACTAGCGCTTTCACAAGATGTTTCTTCGATTTCGTTGGAGTATAGCGAAGGATGTTCTACCTACCCTTAGTAAAAGTAACCTTATCTATTTCTTTCAATGCCGACAATGTGAAGATCGGTATGTAGGTAGAACCCTTCAGCACCTGGGCGCGCGCATTCGTCAACATGTGCCGTTAAGTTTTGTTCCGCTTGATGCGCGTGAGTGTCGTCCTCGCCGTGGTCGTCCTCCAAAATGTGCTGTCCAGTCCATCGGTGGATCTTCCTCTTCCTGTGAAGATATCACTGCATGCCCGTCCTCCTCCGCGTGTATAGCGCAGGGTCCAGCTGAGAACAGCGTGAAAGATGGTGAAAGACCGACACGTAAACCACCGAAATTGACAAAGGATCTGTCTGCGTCGGGAAGGGTTACGCGAAGCCAAGTAAAAATACGGACTGGTGAGGACGCACGTACAACGACAACGGAAGTGACAACAACAGTCAATATTCGAAAACGTGGTAGACCGCGAAAACGAACCTCAATATCGAGCACCGGACAAGTTGGAGTAAGAAGATCAATAGAAATCCGCAATGGAGGAGACGTAGCTGAAAGGACACTGGGCATAGCGCACACAACGGCTGGTGTCAGAAAACGTGGAAGGCCGCGGAAAAGCAAAGAGGCGGATAGTGGTGATGCCGCGAAGAGGCGAGATGACGGGACATTGGAGGAGACTACACCCAACGGAGCTAAGAATTGCACTTCGTCCATTAAGCAACATCTGTCAGCCCGTACCAATTGTCGTGAGTTGTACAGTGATAATGTGTTCTCAATATTGTCACGTGGTAGATGTGCGTTGCATCTGGCTGTGTTAGAAGCTTTGTATATCCGTAAGTTAGATCCTGAACTTTGCGTACAGAAAGAAAATGTGTTGTCGCTACAATTGTTTGGTGTTACTCCTCGTCGAGGTGTTAACAATGTAACTTAATTTGCTCACTATGTTCTTGTCGCTATTATTATTTCCTTCGAGTTTTTGTGTCGTGCTGAACTTGATACTTTTTCCACCTTGTCACGAGTGTTGTTATCTCATATCTTTACGCTATATAAGTTTTAGTCTTTCCAACTTGAGCCATTCCCTGTATAATCCTTGATGAGAAGGGACCGAAAACGTTCGGATACTTTGACAAGTGCCTTATTTTGACTGGATGTGTGTTTGCGTGGATACTTACGACCCAACACGTACCTTCGTTACTAAATTATTATTATTATTATTATTCAAAGGATCAGTCGGGGAAGTGAACTGCCTGAAAAGAGAAAAGAACGCCAGACCCACCAGGACTCGAACCTGGGACCCTGCTTGTCATGAGCAATGCTCTAACCACTGAGCTATGGGACCAGGCTGAACCTAGAAGGCGCTGACAAGTTTTTCACTCCAAAGGCAGCTCACAACACGTGCCACACATACTGATGGCACTTGGGTCTTTTTCCCTCCCCCAGGGGACCAACCACGGTCAGTTTCTGGAAACTACCAGAGGTGAAAGAAAGTGATTAAATTTGGAAAGGATGGGAGAACTTCAAATTCAAAGGATCAGTCGGGGAAGTGAACTGCCTGAAAAGAGAAAAAAACGCCAGACCCACCAGGACTCGAACCTGGGACCCTGCTTGTCATGAGCAATGCTCTAACCACTGAGCTATGGGACCAGGCTGAACCTAGAAGGCGCTGACAAGTTTTTCACTCCAAAGGCAGCTCACAACACGTGCCACACATACTGATGGCACTTGGGTCTTTTTCCCTCCCCCAGGGGACCAACCACGGTCAGTTTCTGGAAACTACCAGAGGTGAAAGAAAGTGATTAAATTTGGAAAGGATGGGAGAACTTCAAATTCAAAGGATCAGTCGGGGAAGTGAACTGCCTGAAAAGAGAAAAAAACGCCAGACCCACCAGGACTCGAACCTGGGACCCTGCTTGTCATGAGCAATGCTCTAACCACTGAGCTATGGGACCAGGCTGAACCTAGAAGGCGCTGACAAGTTTTTCACTCCAAAGGCAGCTCACAACACGTGCCACACATACTGATGGCACTTGGGTCTTTTTCCCTCCCCCAGGGGACCAACCACGGTCAGTTTCTGGAAACTACCAGAGGTGAAAGAAAGTGATTAAATTTGGAAAGGATGGGAGAACTTCAAATTCAAAGGATCAGTCGGGGAAGTGAACTGCCTGAAAAGAGAAAAAACGCCAGACCCACCAGGACTCGAACCTGGGACCCTGCTTGTCATGAGCAATGCTCTAACCACTGAGCTATGGGACCAGGCTGAACCTAGAAGGCGCTGACAAGTTTTCTACTTGTCAGCGCCTTCTAGGTTCAGCCTGGTCCCATAGCTCAGTGGTTAGAGCATTGCTCATGACAAGCAGGGTCCCAGGTTCGAGTCCTGGTGGGTCTGGCGTTTTTTTCTCTTTTCAGGCAGTTCACTTCCCCGACTGATCCTTTGAATTTGAAGTTCTCCCATCCTTTCCAAATTATTATTATTATTATTATTATTATTTGAAACTTTGACAAGTGCCTTATTTTGACTGGATGTGTGTTTGCGTGGATACTTACGACCCAACACGTACCTTCGTTATTAAATT